CTATGTGATATAAATCGTATCAAAGGAGAATTAGGGATGAGAAGTAGAAAAGAAGAGGATGAAAAAAGAAGAAGAAGGGGATGAAAATAGAGAGAATTTTAGGAAGAAGATTTAATATCAATAATCAATAACCAAAGTCTCCCAAAACAAATAACAAATCTCCTATATATATAGGGAGATCACAAATCCTAAAAACTAAACAAATAACATATCTCTCTTAAAATTAAAAGAAAATACTTAAAAAATAAGTACTAAATTATTCTTATGATTAATCTAAAATATTTATCAAATTCCTACACGATCTTCATCATTCTCCTCCGATTGAAAAAAAACTCTCATCTGGAGAGTCTTTAAAATAGAAGTACCCTAAGAGAGCAGGATAAAGATGACATAATGTCTCATCTATAATGAAAGAACCGTCGATTTTTTTCTATCGACCAGGATAAATGTAAGAATCACCATCTGTATGAACACCTACGAATAAAATAGAAGGCTTTGGATTACCTCGATTAAGCAGCATATCCTCCAAATAAAAATCTGGACTAATACTAACATTCAATGAAAAATTAAGCAAATAAGCATTAGATCTAAATTCAAGAATAGCAAAATAATTTCCATTAGATTTGAACAACTGACGTTCAACGAGACAAGACATCAATGACAAATGAGTAATTATAACACCCTGATGCTGAAAATAAGAAAGTACAAATTCAATTGAACACTTGACAGTAGGCAAAAAATCAAAGTTAACAATCTCAAGTGGGGCAGAATCTAGAACAATGTCAATAATCTCTGGTGGAGAAGAATCCGAAACAAAATCAACAATTTCAAATGAAGAAGAATCCATAACAATGCCATCATGATTCAAAATAGTAGACATAGAATAATTGCCAACAGATTGTAAAATAGATAGTTCAATATGCTCAACATCTTGCATAGGAACTAACTAAATGAATTTTTCCTTAAGTTTAATGCTTAGTGATAATTCAACTTTTGGCGCCGATGAGGTAGGAAACATGATAGGATAAAAAATAATCTCATCACTAGTATCAATGCTCAAACGATTGAAAGTATGTTTTGAAGGATGTAAAACATGATGGTCCAATAGAACAAAAATATGGCTATCATTAAGCAGATGTCCGACATTAGGTGAAACTGGAGACTTGTCCTTATTTTCTTCCATTTGTTGACTTGCAAGAATTTTATTCAAGTGGGAAAGTTGACTTGTTAATTCAAATAATTGATTTTTCACCCCTCTACATTCTTCACGTAATTGGCTGAGTAAATATTTATTATTGACAACTTCAATTTCAAATATCTCAACTTTTTTTCCTATGGCAGTTTTAGCTTTTGAATAGTCACTAATAACATTGAAGATTGATCCAGATTGACCTTGATAACGACTTTGGGAAGCATGACATTGGTACCTATTATATGATCTAAGTGTCCCAAAGTAGTATTCTAGATAATCTTTATAATAAAATTCAAACTTATTATGGACTTTATGATGACTCCGAGAAGCTCTAGGAGTGGAATAAGTATAGTGATGACGTTGTGGAGATCTATGAACTTAAGACATTCTTGATGTTGGATAAGTATATGAATAGGCATCATAATGATCATATGAACTCATAATTGACTTGAAAGATGAAAATAACATAAGAATGAGTTCAAGGATGCGATTAATAATTACGAAAAGTGAGAAAATTTAAATAAAAGAAAATATGTTTTGAATCCTTTGTAAATTCTCTAATTTTTCAATGAATAAAAATATTAGTTTCAAATTTCATGGGAGTATGCATACCATAATCAAGAAGAAATTCTGAAACTTTTAGGGATAATTTTATAATTTTTGAAACTTCTGGGGGAAAGATTTTATAATTTCTATAACTTCTAGATTGATGTTTCTGTAATTCTGAAACTTCTTATGTTAGTTCTGCAACTTTTGAAACTTTTTAAGGTGTTTCTGTAATTTTTAGAATAACTGGGATATTATTGCAATTTTTTGAATTTGCTGGACAGTTCTTTTTCTTTTTTTTTGGCTGGTTCTGGATTTTTTTTCTTATGGTGATGAACAGTGCTATACATGAACAGTGATTTCAGATGAACAATGCACGTGTGTGAACAGTATTTTTGAGATAACCAGTGCACGCGTGAACAGTGAATAATAATTTTTTTTTTTTTTAGATACGAATCGAAGCTGAGTTCTGATACCAAATTTATGTAGATCGTATTAAGGAAGAATTAGGGATGAGAATGAAAGAAAAAAGAGATGAGAATAGAGAGAGAATTTTAGGAAGGAAATTTAATATCAATAATCAATAATCAAAGTCTCCCAAAACAAATAACATATATCCTATATATATATATAGGGAGACCACAAATCTTAAAAGAACTCTAAAAGAAATAAATAGTCATAATAATAACTAAATTCTTAAAAATTAAAATAAAATACTTAAAAAATAAATATTAAATTATTATCATAATTAATATAAAATATATATCCAATTCTTACACGTTTCTCGTAACTACGTCTGAACCAATCAAGTTCTGGTGAGTCACAGGGCCAACTTCCTTCTATTTAGTGCAAACTCCTTTTCGCCACTTGGAAGCTTCCTTGATAATGACTATTCCAAAAAAACAAAATGAAGCTTCCCTGAAAATTCAACTTTGCTGTAATGCTCGGTGGATTGTTGACTTCACTTTTGAAGTGCGCGACGACCGAGAAAATTCTCCATATATTTTATATCTTTTGTCACATCAAATTATTTTCAATATCCAAACGATATTTTAAAGTGAGACACTATTCATTACAGTTTCATTTAATTTTATTTAATTGTAGGTAGCTCACTGTATATACGCGAACAATTTATTTATAAATAATAGTGATGGTGTAAACTAAATTGTATGAGTAATTAATCAATTTGGTAGTGTGATAATGAAAGAAATGTTTTTCTAAGGACTGAGAGGATTAATATAAAAGAAGTATAGTGATTTACTAGTTCGATAGTTTGACTAATCTACTCTTTAATGGAGACTCTTGTTCTTTGTCTTTCAATAATGATGATTATCAGAGTACAATTGCTAGTTTTTGTCACTAGGGTCCTCTGCCCTTCTTTAGGGGCGTTCTTTAGGGGCATTACATAGTATTTATAGGATTGTTTCCTATTCAGTAGGATCTTAACCGAGATTCTTGTCTTTATTTCGTGGGTTCTCTTTATTTTTAAAAGAAGATCTTAGTTGGTTGAAATTAGGTGCCTTGATTATAGCTTCCTAACGCTTATCCAACCATTACCTTGCCTCAAATGACATTCAACCCTTGCCCTCTGACCTCAGTTAATATGACTGACTTTTCGATCTGAGCTGAACTCCTGAGCTAACACTTGAGATTTACTTTAATCATCATCAAATAGGTTCTATTAAAATATATAATAAGCAATCTATTATTAAGTGAAATTAAATAAAAGTAAAATAGAGTGAATTTAGATCTTTTAGTGCTCCGTGCAGAGGAAGCATTTTTGTGTTTCTGGCTTTGTGTTTATCAATCAGTAACATTGAATTTTTCAGGCAATACCGAGTGAATTTTTAATCTGCAGAGGCTGACCTTCACGCTTCAATCTTCTATCAATGGGGTCTTGATGTGAAGTTATTTTCCACTAGGTACTCATAGTTAAACTTTGTTCAATGAATTGATGGAATTCGAGCACTGACGCTCATCCCTACTTACACCATGTTATCGTTTCATAGATTAAGTGTGTTCTAATTTCCATGGCCACGAACACTTATCTCTATAATTTTCTAATTTATAGTTTCCTAATAAAAAAAATCATAACCAATATAGTTGCCACCATCTCTTGGTGAATTGGTGTCTCTTCACTTGAACTTTCAAGTTAAAAACTAAAAATAAATAAAAGAAGAATAACTTGTAAAGAGCAGATCTCTTCTAATCTTGTTTACTATATGTCCTAGCTAATAGGTAGTATTAGGGCTAATTGCATTAGAGGTCTCAAAAGTAGAGGGTTTGTCTCATTTAGGTCTCTAATATTTCAATTGCATCATTTTGGTCCCTGCAATATTGAATATATTTTCATGTGGTCTCTCAAACAGACATTGTTAATGATTTTTTATCATAAAATTGTCACGTGATACCGAAATATGAATAAAAAATAATTTGGATAACTTTTATCCCTAAATTGCGTAGGTTGATCCGGACACCCTTGACCATTAGATAAAAAAAAAAATTTATTAGTGATATAAACTATTGTGTAGCTTAATCCCATGAATGATGGACAGACAGCAAGTTCCGCCTTAAATAACAAGAACTGTCAGGAACAATTCTAAGCAATTTCTGTAATAAATCCATTCATCAATTCTTATAAACTCCGCGTTCAAGATTGATCGTTTTTTATTTTGGATATCATTTTCAAGGTCAGAAAATGCAGGTTCCATAACTTCGGTATCATGATTAATGTTATTGATAAATAAAAAATTAATCTAATTTACTAATTTAATGATATAGCAGTGATGTGATGTAATTTTTAGATTATTTCATTAGAATTTTATCAATTGACACATCATTATGCTAACAAATTAAATTAATTTTTTAATTCTCAATAACATTGCTCACGGTATCATACCACCATCGGTCTCAGCAATTAATTTTTATTTTGATAATGTACAACTATTGATTATAAAAATAATATAATAATAAAAAATAATAAAGTCTGAAAATTTTACACTTAGACATATTTTTATTGAATAAAAAGTAGGGACACGGTACCAAACTTTTTTTAGATGTGCACACCACGTGGCACTGCTGTGGGTGGGGGGAATATTGGTCACTGAAAATTTTCCCGATTGATAGCTAATGGGATTGTGGGATCTTTGTCCTTTTGTTTCTAGCATCCAGTATAAGAGTGTGCGCTCAATTCAGATTTCAACCACAACATTTCAATATTGGGTTTGCAAGTGCTTTGCGATTGTAGTAATACAACTAAAGCATGGAAGACACGGCCAAGATGGTGCAAAGGATTTCAAGCTGTCGCGGTGTTGCGTTTGAGATTAATCCCAACAAAAGTAACCTCTTTGCGATTTCGTCTTCGCCAGAAGAGCTGCAAACTGGGAACTGGACTTGGTTTCCATGGACTCAAAAGGGTTCCTTTAAGGTGTTTCCAGACCCAAGGTCCAGCTCCATCGCAAGGACTCTGAGTAGGGCCAGTACGCAAAGCAACCTTTTTTGTGATCTTGAAGAAGATGACGATGACGATATCAATGACAACGAGGATGGCAGCAAGTACTTGGGAGATCAGACTGAAAAAGACGTTGAAAACCAAGAGGTTGTTGAGGAAGTTGCAGAACTGAAGCAACTGCCAAAACCGCCCCAAAAAGATTCAAGGCTCTCAGTAATACTGCTTGATCAAGGGTTATTCACAGTCTACAAGCGACTGTTTGTGGTTTGCTTAACCTTGAATGTCATTGGATTGGCACTTGCAGCAACTGACCATTTCGGATATGCCAAGCGGAAAGCAGCCCTCTTCTCCATTGCAAATATACTGGCTTTGACACTCTGCCGTAGCGAGGCCCTCTTGAGGATAGTTTTCTGGTTGACTGTGAAGTTGCTAGGGAGGCCACGGATACCTATTTGGATGAAGACAGCCACCACTTCTTTCCTCCAATCCCTTGGAGGAATACATAGTGGTTGTGGTGTGTCTTCCATTGTTTGGCTTATATATGCTCTTATTCTCACTCTTCAAGACAAAGAAAACTCTTCCCCAGAAATCATAGGCGTAGCTTCCTGTATCCTCTCTCTCATTTGCCTCTCTGCCCTTGCAGCTTTCCCTCTTGTCCGCCATCTCCATCACAACGTTTTTGAACGAACACATCGTTTTGCTGGCTGGACAGCTCTCATCCTAGTTTGGGTTTTTATTGTTCTCACTGTGTGTTACGAACCAGCTCTAAAGACATATAATTTGAGCGCTTCAAAGCTTGTCCAAACGCAAGAATTCTGGTTCACTCTAGCCATAACGATTGTTATAATCCTTCCATGGCTAACAGTGAGACGTGTCCCGGTTAAGGTATCAGCCGTTTCAGGTCATGCTTCTATCATAAAATTTGAGGGAGGAATTCAAGCGGGAATACTGGGGAGAATCAGCCCATCACCATTATCAGAGTGGCATGCTTTTGGGATCATTTCTGATGGAGAGAAAGAGCACATGATGCTGGCTGGTGCTGTTGGGGATTTCACCAAATCCTTGGTCTCCAACCCACCAAGCCATCTTTGGGTTCGAGGGTTGCACTTTGCTGGCTTGCCTTATCTGGTGAATTTGTATCAACGTATCGTATTAGTGGCCACAGGGTCCGGAATTTGTGTGTTCCTATCATTCCTTTTGCAGCCATGCACAGTAGACGTGTGCTTGGTTTGGGTGACGAAAGGGGTGGAGAAAAATTTTGGAAAAGAGATTAAAGAAATGGTGGGCAGATATCCAAAAGAGAAAGTGATTGTTCATGACACAGCAATCTTGGGTCGGCCCAAGGTGGCGGAGATGAGTGTGGATGCCGCAAAAAGGTGGAATGCCGAAGCAGTGATTGTTACTAGTAACCCTAAAGGGAGCAAGGATGTTGTGGAAGCATGCAAGGCAGCTGGGATACCTGCCTTTGGACCTATTTGGGATTCCTAGACCATATAATAATGTGGAAAATGCTATTCAAAACTTACTATATAACTATCTTGTGGTTTGTGGACTAAGGTTTTCTGTGTTGACGAGGTGGTTTCTTGGAGCCCCAATTGGTGTGTTATAACAAGTATGCGACGCTTGTTTGCTTGTGTTGTTTGTGGGCCATAATCCCGTTAGCAGGGGCGGAGCCAAAATTTCTTTTCAGTGGGGACAAACATTAAGTTAAAGAAAACCGGAGGCAACCATCAAGTTAAATGAATGATTATTTAACAATTATCAAAATTCGTTTCATCTAGTAAACATATTTATTATCTCAAAATTTCATTCTCTATAAAATTTTTTTTTTTTAATCTAACACCTTTTATAAAATAATTCTTCATATTATTTTTTTTACTTTCAAAGATTTAACATATAAATACACGTGAAAAAATGATAGCCGACTATGAAAAAATAATATATATATTTTTTTAATGCATTAGAATAAAGACAGTTTTCATAGAGAATGCTATTTTGACATATTATTTTGTAAGTGTGTTTGCCAATGATAAGATTTTGACTCATCCGAATGACAATTTGTCTTGAAAATCCTATTTTGAATCTAATTTAATTATTCAACTGATTTCGTTTTTTAATCCATATTCGAATCTATTAAATATTATAAATTTTATCAAAAATCTATTGTTTTATATATACATATATATCTATGTGTGTGTCGCATTGTAATTTTAATTCAATTTAATAGTTTAGTTTTATCAAATGTTTACATATACATATTTGTGTATGCATATCAAATTGAATTGAAGTGAATTGAATTGAATCATAATTAGATCAAATTTTTTTATGCGCCCAAATCTAAAATCTTAGAAAATAATGTAGTATATTTGATCGAAGTGAATTGAATTGAATCATAATTAAATCAAATTTTTTTATGTGCCCAAATCTAAAATCTTAGAAAATGATGTAGTATAGTTGAATTTAGATAATTGGTCAAAAATATATATGTATGTCTTAGTAATCGAATTCGGAGAATGATTGATTCAGTAACTTAAGTGAGTCATTATAGAACGAATAAAGATAACTAGAGATTAAATAAAAAATTGTGAGATTAAGTCTCTATGAGCGAACTTTGAGTATAAATTTTTAGTGCATTAAAAAAAATGAGTGGGGGCAAGTTATTAAAAAAATTAATTTTTATTATAATTTTAAATTAACCATACAAATTTTCAAAATTTCAGTGGGAGCAATTGCCCCCGCTGCCCCCATCCTGCCTCCGCCCCTGCCCATTAGCAAAAAATATTTGCTTAAGCAATTAAGAATGTAAAGGAAGCTAATGCTAAAAAGTCTTAATCAAGACATTTTGTTTGCGGCAACAAATTTCCATCCCAAATAACTCCCAATATACTAGCATCAGAAAAGTGCCGGCAATTAGTTGACGCCAATAGTAGAAGCTATTTGCATCAAGCACTTGCCTATGCAAACTTTGCGATTTTTTTTTTGAACAAGTCCTCCATTTTGCAATGATGTTTTGTCCCTTTAGGCAATTTTTTTTTTTGGTCAAGCTCTTTACCCATTGACGGAGCCACGTTATGGTCAATATGTCCCCCCTCGAGTTTCTAAAATTAGGCTTTGTATTCTTAAAATTAGGTTAGCCCCCTCATAAAATGGAATTCATTTATTTCATGTTGCATGGCCTTCTCAAGTTTTCAAAGTTGTATTTTATATCTTTCAATTTTGATTATGATTTTCTTTTATCCATCAAATATCAAGCAAAGGTATTGTACCTTTAGCACCAAGTGATTGGTCAAATGAATAAGAATTCAGATTTACTCGCTAAATGTTTGGGTTCGAGTCTACATAGATATAGTAGCTCGGTAGGTTTAAAACTACTTTTTAGTCTCTAAAACACGTGGTGGGATCCCATTTTGGCTCCAATAATGTAGATGTTGTGGGGTCTATCACAAATAACTGTGTAGTGTTAAAAACAATTCAATTTGCAATGTATACAATCAATAATTGTCCGATAGAGTGAAACAAATGATACCCAAACTTACAGAGAATGGTCCAAATTTGTAGAAAATATGCATTTGAAAGATCTGTATGATGTATTTTATGTTAATCTACTTTTTGTAATTTGTCAAGATAAGTCGAAATTTATTTTTCCTCAAATTATAATGTGAAAATTTTGAGCTTAAATTATTGATGAAATGACAAGAAAGTATCTTACAGCTAATTAATTCATGTTTGAATTAACATAGGGTCAGTCCTAGGCCTAGGCGATAATGGTCGTCGCCTAACGCCCCAAAAAAAAACCACATAAGAAATTGACACAAGACTATGAGTTTGGGTGTAGCCTTAGTACAATCATGTGATAAACGGGTGAATTGTTTGACCACTTGAATGACGAGGTCAACATGAGCTTGCTAAACAAGACACAAAAACATGCTAAGCACGACCTATATACAGTATAAACCCAACTATACAGGAATATAAATGAGATGGATATGTATTGAACAAATTTTATCACAATAGGACCAAATGATTGTATTTATATTTCGTCTTCTCGGTCATTATCTCCTCACAAAAAAATTGATGCATTACAATCAAAATTGTCTGACTAACAAAGTTATCTATTATCTCATTTTTATAAATTGTTGTATTTTCTTAACTTAAATTCGAAGCCATTGTTATCTGGATTGAATTTTTTGCTTAATTTTATTTAAGACACAAGTACATACAAAATGACTACAAATCAGAGTATGTAGAAGTAGCTTGATACTTGAAATAACTACTGACATTCATTCTTTAAAATTAATTTTGCTGCACTAATAAATTTCCATTTTTTATGTTTTTAATTGATCGTAGACTTAATTATATTTTGGTATTCAAACTTAACTTCAATTAATAAACATTTTATTGAGGTTAGCGATTGGCTTAATGTCCACCGCTGCCGCTACTGACTTTAAGGTCTCAGGTTCGAATCTCGTCGTCCCTCTCCACTATATTGGTGTTGTAATGCCCCAAAATTCATAGTAGAGACATTAACTACCAATCACTATCAAATCATGAGAGCATACTAAATAACTATTAAAATAAATAAAATCATTCATCATCCATTATCTAATTAAATAAATCCTTAAAGAAATTATAAATAAATCCTTAACATAAGTAAACCGTCAAATCTAAAATTCATAAACTAAAAGTCATTCTCAAACTTTCACATTTGGATCCATGACTCCTCCTCAACATCTCAATCTACCTACTCATCTAACTTTGGATCCTCCAAAATACTAAAATATGAAAATTGTTGTGGTAGGGTGAACAATAAAGTCTAGTAGGAAAACCTTCTCAAACTCAAACAAGGTTTAGAAATTATGAAAAATATGTAAATCTCAATTTGTAAAATAAATATATAACTTTTGAAGTAAAACAATGACATTTAATAACGATCTCCAGTTTATGACACAAAAATAGTAAATTCATAACATAATAGAATCATTCGCAAAACCAAACTCAATACACAATATAGCTTATGTATGTAGGTCGACTAGTATGAATTTGCACACCGAACCCATCTCGTCCACCACCACAAACACAATCCATCTTAAATCAATTCTCATAGAGCCACAACACTTGCAACACTTTGGGAAGGACGTATACCAAAATATCAGTATTGACACATCCTTTCCTAGGATAGTATACTAGCCCCTAGTGTCGAACCAACGTGGACAAATAGTGGTTGCCCTCGCAAGAAACCAAACCCTCTACGAGTATTAGGCAACTACCAAACCTCTCAAAATGGGAAAACATCTAACGTTCTACGGTACGAATTCGATTGTATTCCACGTTCAGCACACCCACCCTTACAAGAGATAATAACAATATTTTTTTACAAAATTCATGTATAACATAATCCATGGTTTCACAATTTTAAGTAAAAGAATGATAAAAGCAAAATATGAAAGAGATTGTAAAAAGAAGAATTCATGTCGACAATATTCAAGATCTAGGGTTTTAATCAAGAGCATATTATTTTTTAATGTAAAACACGTGTTTATTCAAGAATTTAAATAGATATTAAAAAGGAATGTAAAAATATTATAGATCTATCCCATGGATAAGATTATGCATCAAGAACTAGGTTTTCTATCAATAACAAATAGATCTTAGAAGCAAATCATGTATTTTTCAAGAAAAAGGGTTTCTAAATCAAGAATGGATAGATCTTGGATGCAAAGCATATATTTTATTCAAAAAATAAATCTTGGAATGAAAAAGATGCATACAATAACCCTAATCCTCAATGAGTATATTTGAGAAATAGTTTCTACCTTAATCCATAGATAATTGATCCTAATACTTTTGAAAAAAATCAAATGAACAGTTCTATCAATGTTGGGATAGATACAAAAACTTGTTACACTCCATTCCACATCATGGATTCAAACCATGACAATTGGTGAGTTTCTTCTACGAAGGAATTACACCGGGCCATCGACAATTCATCGACAGGATGTGCAACGGAGAGTTTCTAAGTAAAGAGCCCGATGAGGCCCTTGACTACTTTAACACATTGACAAAAAATACCTAATCTTGGGATATCATGGATCCCACCGATGTGCCAATGTCTTGTCCGGGTAGCCAACCAAGTGGAAGGGGGATGTATAACTTGTGTGACCAAGAAGACTTGCTTACAAAAATAACGAAATTGTCCTGCAAGGTGGAGAGTCAAGAGGTGAATAGGAGGCATGAGGTGTCTAACATTACAAACGTCGATGAGTTTTTCTCTATATGTGAAAGTGTTGAGCATTCTATTTCGGAGTGCCCAAACGTTCCGACACTCAAAGAGGTTTATTATGAACAAGTGAATGCCTTCAACCAAAATAGGTAATCATTCTCTTCACACCCCAACACACACAATCCGGGATGGTGCAACCACCCGAACTTTAGTTGGAAGAATAATAACCCCATTCCTTATGGGTCTGGCTCATTCTCACCATTCATTC